TTTGTTCTCCATATTTATTAGTCTCCTCCGTTTTGTTCCCCTCCCTGTTTTTATATTATTTTTGTTTCCCTCCCCTTATGTTCATCTGTTTTGTCTCTTAAAGTCCTCATATGAGTGAAGTCATGATTTTTGTCTCTGACTAATTTGACTTAGCATAATACCCTCCAGTTCCATCCATGTAGTTGCAAATGGCAAAATTTCATTCTTTTTGATTGCCAAGTAATACTCCATTGTGCGCACGCGCGCGTGTGCGCGCACACACACACACACACACACACATATAGCACATCTTCTTTATCCATTCATTCATCGATGGACATTTGGGCTCTTTCCATACTTTGGCTATTGTTGATAGTACTGCTATAAACATGGGGGTGCATGTGTCCCTTCGAAACAGCACATCTGTATCTCTTGGATAAATGCCTAGTAGTGCAATTGCTGGGTCGCAGGGTAGCTCTATTTTTAGTTTTCTGAGGAACCTCCATACTGTTTTCCAGAGTGGCTGCACCAGCTTGGATTCCCACTTATTTTATTCTTTATGTTATAATTAGTTATAACCATTTAAACATTCAAATTATCCCAGACTTGGCCACTTGGGGGCTCCACAGGCTGGCTTCTGTGTCTTTTTGACATATCCATATTATTCTTTGTGTGATATCCTTGAGCAGGAGCCATGCTAACCTTCTCTGTATACTTCTAATTTTAGTATATGTGCAGCCGAAGTGAGCACCACATCTTAATTTTATATACGGATAACCTTACTCTAGTTTTTTTTAAGTGACTTTCATTTTATAATTGTCTTTAATTTTATAATACTTTATAATTTATTTTACAAAATAAATTTTATGATAGATTTTGTATGGTTTCCCAGGTATACTACTATCTGAAAATCTAGCTAGTTTTACTTCCCCCCCAATTCAATGCTGGTCTAACAGCATTGACTAATGCCTCAAGTACAATGAATACCTTGGGTACAATGTTGAATAGTAGTGGAGATAACAGACATCCTTGCTTTGTTCTTCAACATAATGGAATTTCCTTGTATTTTGTCTTGTATTTTTCCCATTAAATATTTAAAAGAATACATATCCATCCATTCATCCATCTAAATCTCTCTTTATTTACAGCTTTTAAAAATTTATTTATCTCTACACCCCACGTGGGACTTGAACTCATGACCTGGAAATCAAGAGTCACATGCTCTTTTGACTGAGTCAGCCAAGTGCCCCATCTCCTTTTCTTTTTTTTTTTTTAAAATTTTTTTTTTTCAACGTTTATTTATTTTTGGGACAGAGAGAGACAGAGCATGAACGGGGGAGGGGCATAGAGAGAGGGAGACACAGAATCGGAAACAGGCTCCAGGCTCTGAGCCATCAGCCCAGAGCCTGACGCGGGGCTCGAACTCACGGACCGCGAGATCGTGACCTGGCTGAAGTCGGACGCTGAACCGACTGCGCCACCCAGGCGCCCCTCTTTTTTAAAAGTAACACCAATCTCTGTATTTTTAAGTTTTTCTTCCCCCTGGTAAGGTACTGAATTCTACCAAAAGATTTGTAGGCATCTGGAAATTTTTGATTTTTCTCTTTAGATCTGTGGTAGATTATATTGATGAATTTTCTAACTTTGAGCTGACCTTAAATTTCTTTAAGGTCATAACCATTTGGTTATGGGTCATAACCCATTTGGTTATGGTGTATTAGTTTTGCAACGTGCTATGGGATTCTGTTTCCTAAAATATTTAATGTTTTTGCATTAGTATTTGTGATATTGGTCTATGATTTTTTCTGTCTTTAGCTGGCTTAGATATCAATATTATACTTGCTTCATAAAAAGAATGCTCTTGAACAGTTTGTAGAGTTTTAGAACAGTCTAACCTTTGGGATTAGATAGAATTCTCCTGTGAAGCCATCTGTGCCTGGTGCTCTTTGTGGGTGGGGTAGTTCCTTGATAATGTGCTCTATTTCTTCTAAAGAAAGCTTTCCATTTCTGACAGGTCAATTTTGGTATACCATAGTTTTCTAAAAAATTTCCATTGCAACCAAGTTTTTCCCCCCTCATGTTTCTTTATTTTGACAGAGAGAGAAATAGAGACTGATCAGGGGAGGGGCAGAGAAAGAGGGAGACAGAATCTCAAGCAGGTTCTTCACTGTCAGCACAGAGCCTGATGCGGGGCTTGAACTCACGAACTGTGAGATCATGACCTGAGCTAAAATCAAGAGTCGGATGCTTAACCAACTGAGCCACCGAGGCACCCTGCAACCAAGTTTGAAATTTATTTATATACAAACACCTGCATGGCTCAGTTGGTCCAACTCTTGGTTTTGGCTCAGGTCATTATCTCATGGTTTCATGAGTTTGAGCCCCACATCAGGCTCTGTGCTGGCAGTGCAGAACCTACTTGGGATTTTCTCTCTCTCCCTCTCTGTCTCTGCCCCTCCACCACTTGTGCTTTCTCTGTCTCTCAAAATAAACAAACTTAAAAAATATTATTTATATACAGATATAGAAAGTAGACTTGTGATTTCCTCTTATTTCAATGGTATGTTCCCTTGTCATTTCCTGTTTCTATTACTTTTTATTTTTCTTCTTAAAAAATTCAGGTCAACTCATGGTTTGTCTATTGTGTTAACTTTTTCTAGATTTTCTACTTTTCTATTTTCTACCTTAAATTCTTAAAAAAAAATTTTATTAATTACTTTTATTGTAAAAAAGAATATATGTGAGTTGACAATTCAGAAAGGATATAGTAGGGGTGCATGGGTGAGCATGGGCTCAGTCAGTTAAGTGTCCCATTCTTGATCTCAGCTCAGGTCATGATCTCAATTCATGAGAACCACTGGTCTGCTTTCTGTTATTAGAGATTATCGTTGTATGAACGTATGTTCTCTTTTCTCCAGAAGTGGATCATATGGTAGGTGTATGTTTAAACTCTTTTTCAAAGTGGTTGTTATGTTTTTATTTTCTCACCCAACAAAGTCTATGAGAGTTCCGATTGCTCTATAGCTCTGTCAAAGCTTGGTAATTCTGATGGGTGTGTAGTGGCACCTAATTATGGTTTCAATTTGCATTTCCCTAATGACTGATTATGATGGATGTCTTTTCATGTTTTTATTGGCCATTTGTATATCTTCTTTAGAGAAATGTCTTTTTAAATACTTTGCCCATTAGAAAACTTTTTTATATACTAGATTGAAGAGTAGTAATTATGAAAAAGTAACTAAAATGTATGAGGAGACTAAAGGAAGACAGGGGTTACTTTGGTTAAATTTGTTTGTAAAAATTTAACTTGGAATGTTCTTTCCCTCCAGATGCAGGGGAGGGTCTGTTACATATGGGAGTTTTATCTCCTGTTTTCAGGAGGAAAAGGGGAAATCATTGTGCCTTTCTTACACCTGTTGTTTTTCAAGTGCCTTTAGCTCAAAATAGTCAATATATCAAACTGGCGTATTTTGGGGTGGCATATTCTGAGCCCACTCTAAGCCCTGTGTCACCCTCGGTCTCACTCTGGGGAACTCAGGTGGGCTTTAGAGTTGGTGTACAAGGTGATGGTAACA